GCGCCAACTGCAACATCAACGACGCTCCCACTTACCTGGAGAACTGCTTGTACGGCTACGCCGGCGATGACGACGTCGCGCCTGCCGTGGACTGCCTAACCAATGCGCTCAGCGCCAAAATTTGCTGTTAAAAGGTTATAGTTGTCAACCCGATGTGAATAAAAAGACGTGAAGTATTCTTCACATTCGGTGCAAGGAAGAATCAGGTTTAATCTTTGAGAATCTTGATTTTTTCCTAATGAGTCCCATCAACAGTACAAATCCAAAGGTCTGGCATTCGCAACTTCACAGGCGTTGCGAAAAGTCTTGCTATGTGAACGGCGTGCCCGCTCTACAAATCAAAGAGTGTACATAGTATGCTCTAACTGGAGCATGCCTGCAAGCACGCTCTAGCTCGCGCATGCCTGCCAAGCATGCACTAACTAGTGCATACATGCCATGTACACGCTAACTGAAGAATACATTTACTGCATAAGGGATAGGGAGTTTTCTGCATCAGGAAGCGTGAACATGGCAAATATGCACTAGTTAGTGCATGATTGGCAGGCATGCGCTAGCTAGAGCGTGCTTGCAGGCATGCTCCAGTTAGAGCGTACCACGTACCATGTACACTCTTTGATTTGTATAGCGCACAGCCAGCGCCAGCACACGCTGCGCTACGCCACGCACGCATCCTGTGTCGCGCGGGTTTGCTGCTGACGGGGTAGTTTCGTACGTACCGTGCCATTTCATGTCCGAGGTATAAAACAGTCATTCTAATTTATTTGAAGCATTCTAACAGCTTGACCCTCTCCTACCACACCAGTGCAACTTGTGGAGATAAACTTGTGGAAATAAGTACAAAGAGTTCAAATCTGTGGTGAAAAGGAACGGTAAGCACGGAATTACCCGACGGCGGCGGGCCGCAGAAGTAGGCCTCTCGGCTGAGGGCGGTTGCCCCGCCCAGTGGGTAGGCCGCCCATCGTGCCCGGGGCCGAGGGACGTCATTACCATTAAGGGCTAGACCACACATGATCGTATGCCATTTCGGGCCCGACACATGCTCGCCTGCACTGCAAAACGAGACAAGGTCGTCCTTACTAGGCGCTGGCTGTGTGTCCCCCACAGCTCGGGTGCCCACGTGGCTGCCTTTGGCCAGCCGTACATTACCATTACAGGCTAGACCACACATAATGTTTTACGACAGGTTTGTATTTCGACTCCAATCCAGTTTGTTCCACATTATTTGCTCAAAATTTTACATTTGATGCCGTCGTTTTATTTAACGTTTAAATTCTCCGTAGTGTCTTTAATGAGCCGGCAGTTGCAAGTTGCAGGGTTTCACGTCGAAGGCCTATTCGAGGGCGTAGCGGAGAGCCGCGGTCGCCTGCGATGGTTAGGTTAAGTCCAGTTCCACAGCAAAGCCTGCAAAACGCAATCCGGTTCTACACCGGTGAAAATTTTGTCACAACTTAGCGACACACTTATTGTTAATTTTTTTATCGACAAGGTCTGTATTAGAACGAATAGCTTAAACCGTTGTCGTACTGCAACTAAACGATATTTACACACTCTAAATATTATACAGTGAAGATACTCCATATTGTGGTGAAAATGTTCCATATTACGGTGGTGCAGCTGACTTCATAACATACCACTGAGAATTCAATGTACCTAATAGATATTTTGACGAATTTTGTTGGTATTCTGGAGAAAATCTCCACCATGTTGGTGCAGCCTTCCACCATAAGACATTTAATAACAGTGCATATAAACAGTACGCCTTCAAAAACAAGTCATTGACCAACAACAAATGATGGTTGTAAATAAAAAGGATTGGTTATGCCCGTAAGTAAGTACTTTAGTCGCTATCTTTATTTTTCATTCATTATTTATTTTAGTAGATAATAGCGAAAGAAGTTGTTTCCACACAAATTATATCGTTCGTAGTGATTTAAACGTGACAAGTATGCTCTAGTTCTGTCAACTATCTGAATGTTATTTAAAGTACCTAATCGCCGCACCGTACCTCACCTTATGGCGGCGTTCATGCCACGGGAACGACGTGGCATTCCGCTACGAGGCAAAGGTAGGGTATTTTCACCCTGGGCAACCCCGCACTTATGCGGAATCGATATTCTCCATATTGCATGATGGGCACACTGGGGAACACCCAGTTGACAGGTTCATTCTTCACCTCGTAATCTTTCTGAAAGTAAGATACACATTTGAGCACACTACAAATCCAAAGGTCAGACTTCTCGCCACTCCAGAGGCGACACACAAAGCCTCGTCAAGTTCTAAACCGGAAAGTCTCGCCAAAATTTTGGTCAGACAAACAATTCTCGCCTCTTAATGGCCTTACACGAAAGTCTCGCCGTAAAATGGCGAGACTTTTGTGTCTGACCGCCGCCTAAAAGCCGTAAAGCGCCGTCATCGGGTGTATCACGAACCACAATCGGACTGCTTTAAAAAAATTGCCTCTTCGTAAGGTTTTAAGCGTGCAACAAGAACACTCTCATTCTAGGAACGTGACATCACGGCATTGTGTCACATTCGTTTGGGTGTGAATTGGGCAAAAATCAGCTTGTTCACATTCAAACGAACGTGACACTTTGTCACGTTCGTTTTAACGTGATGTCACGTTCCTGGAATGAGAGTGAACAGAGCTTAAAAACGCTGCGTAATATGTGGACGACATTCGGAGAAAAGTCAAAGGGCACTTACCGCGGGGATTACGCACGTCCCTTTGTCATCTTTGTTCAGTTTGAACATGACTTGGTAGAAATCTGGAATCTGTTTCCTCACCGCCGAGCAGGCACCCGCTGGAAACTTGAATATTAACGCGTTATCCTTCCACATGTTGTTCGATCGGCGGTCCACGATTACTTGAACCTGGATACGTGTTTAGCAGAAATGTTACCGATTTTGAAATGTACGTTGAAAAAAAATGCGAGAGAAGTTAACTTTAAACGAACGGTGGATTGGATTCATTCTCTTTAAACACTCGTGTAAATCCTGTCAGACAGAATGTCAGACTGCAAGAAAAAGTGTGAATAGTACATTAATAGTACAACAAAATTTGTACAATACAAGTACAACAGGGACTGTAGAAAGTACAACGAGAATTTTACAAACCACAACGAGCACAGCACTCATCATGCCGGCTCCATTGTACTTTGTACAACAATTGTTGTACTTAAAAAGTACACTAAATTCCTGGTAAAACATTTGCAAGAAATTTGTTCACTTTTGTTGTGGTTATTTCCTGCAGTGCAGAAACCTTTCTGAAAACCTGATCAAAATTCGCGCACCTCTGAAAACTGAAAACATCTCCTATGACGGTCTGTATAACTCAAACCGTCAAATATCAGAGAAGTTTTCAGAGCAGGTGCGCGACTTTGGATCAGGATTCCAGACATGTTTCTGGCATTCTGATAAAATTTATACGAGTGAATTCAGCCCAAAAGGTCTCAATCGATGAGTCTTCAGGGTAAATTCTAAGAGTGATTAGCCACCTCCGTTTTTGCTCATGCTGTACCCCAATGTTGCCTCTTCTCTGCAAACTGAAAAGCGTCAAGGGCGCCGGAAGTGGGGTGCAGGGGGGGGCAGACACAAACCCCCCTACTTTCAGACACAAAAGTGCCATTTTGAGCCCGAAATAGGGAGAAAACTATAGCAAA